TTTAGTAAAAGTTTTCAAATATTCTTATTTCAGTGTTCTTGCTGACATTATTTTCTGCAATAAATGTGTCTCAACTGCTGCCTTATATACCTTCTGCCCCAGGTGGTCCTACTATATGCCTCAACTTACGTCCTCGTGTCACTAAGCATAGACCGGTATCATGCCATAGTTTACCCAATGAAGTTCTTGCAGGGAGGTAGGAGAATTTCTGTACCTTGCTATTGCTATGGATATTATTGGGTATGTTTTAGTTTCAAAATTCTTAACCTTGTTGTCATGAATTATTCATTCCTGCTGTAGCAACATTTGGGCTCCATTACAGTTTTCCAAATGGCAAAGGAGCTGCAGTTTCAAGATTTATTAAGCTGCTCTTAGCCCTCAGCAGTTTTTTTAAGCATTGTTTTAGCAAAGAATGAAATGACATTTTAAAAAGTATAGAGATTTCATTATCTTCCAGCATTTTGAGAAGGTTATTATGGGCAAAAGCTAACCCTCATACAACTATACTGACTCTAGGAGCTGCAAGAGCTATATTGTCTGTTTATTCACACTAAAAAATAATTGGATAGAGAGTCCAGTATGGAGAATTTATACAACAGTTTGATAGGAGAACTTCAAAAGCTATAGCATATAAGTTTGAATATCTGTTGTTTCTTATAATTTCTTCTAATGGTTATTTTTACAGCACTCAGATATATCCTGGCTGCTTAGCAGTACAATTTAAAGAACATGATTTCTTTCCTACAGAGCCAAAGTGGGACATTAAGTGTGTTGCACGGAGTGAATAAACAGAAATAGCAGGTGGGAAGGAAGGGGAACAGTTACAAGAACCATGAGGGCTGGAAGATGCTGGTTAATCAGATGCAAATATCATTCTTGTTCTGGAGTAATGATGGCTTTTGCCAGCCTGCTCTATTCAGGAGATCAGATTAATGGTCCTTTCTGGCCTTAAAAACCGATGAATCAATCACAGCACACAGGCAGTGGTGCAGCTTTGGCAGATGTTAAGGTCTGAAAACTTCAAATACTTGTGTGAAATTTAACTTCATATTCCCCAGCAGGCAGACGAACTTTTTTCAGAATGGGGAGATTGATCTCAAGGTTTTCTTCAGCAGCCTCTGGGAGGTGCAGCATGCTCTGCAGCTCCTGCCAACGCTGCGCCAGGCTGGGGAGGGCTCATAAACCTGCCAGCTGAGTGAGGCGAGCAGTCAGACAGATCCGCTGGCATTACTTCTTCATACATGGTACAGAAAAAGCAGCACTTGTTAAATTACCGCCTGGTCTTAGTAAAAAAATTGGTGGTTAATCTTTGCAAATCACTTTGAAGTTGAAAAAAACCCCACCAAACCACCTCAAATCTTTATAAAAACGTTTTTCTTTTAACTCGGTCCCATTTCCCATACCTATACCATAAAGTTTTTTCTTTTCTTTTTAAGACTGGAGAAGAGCAGACATCGGACCCGGTTGAGGGGCAGCAGAGCCATCAGCTGGGTGCGGCTCTGGGTGGGGGGAAAAGGCCAAGAGCAGAGATAACACTGACAAAGCCCACCTGCCTCTGGCAAACGCTGGCTACACATTGATGGACGAGCAAAGACCATGTTCAAAGGGAAAAAGTAGGCAGCTGTAAATCCAAAAGAAGGATCTAGAGAGGTATATTTACAATAGCAACTTCCTGGAATATACATAAATATTCAACTTTTCAACTCAGCTATTCCTAGAAGAGGTGTCGTGGCGGGGGGCTTTTGAAATGCCCTCTTCGCTATTCTGCAAACAGAGAACAAAGAGATTTAGAAAACATTGTCACTGGTGATGACACAGTCAAACTTTAAGAACAGTTCTGAGTCAACCTGTGGCAATTTTCTTTCCAAAATGAAACACTCATCCCCCAAAATCCCTCAATCAAGAAACAAAAGAGTTGTTTCTCCTTACCAATTTTAAAAAAATATGTTTCCATGTAGCCTTGAAATATCATTTAGGAAAGAAAAATCAAACATTTTGCTTTGAAAATGTCAAACAATTTCTTTTTTTAAAATTGTGGTTTAGTTACTAGCCTCAAGTCTTGTTAAAAGTATTTGCAATGAGCTGTATTTTGCATGGCTTCTAAGAAAACAAAGTTCAACAGTTAAATTTTTTATACTTACTTTGCAAATACATAAATGACCACAGAAAGTACAGGATGTGGAAGAATTATACAATCTAAATCCTAACACTTCTACTGTATGAGGCACCTAATTCAATAACCAAAGGGGTCATTAAAAAAAAATAAGTTGTAAAACAAAGATCAAAAAGAAAAGAAACTGAGAAGTTATAGCGGAAGACATTTTATTAATATTTCACCATGTTGAAAAGGTATATGCAAACAGTATACAAACTAAGCAACAGGTGACAATAGAACTGCTTAAGTAAAAGACAAAATCCAAATAGGTGTAAACTGCCCCTTTGCATGGCAAGATGCTAAAGTCCAACAGATCAACAAGATTCTGGAACAGCTCTCTCTCTCTAGATTTAAAACCTAATTTTAAAATGACACTTTATAGAAGGATTGCACAGCATTGCCGTTCATGGTAGTGGGGAGCAAAACCCCTCACAAGAGGTGCCTCCCCGCCACGTGTTGCTAAAAGAAGGTAGATATGCACAAACCCACTGCCGCAGCATACAGGTGGCAGAAGCAGAGCAAAGGGGTTGATGAAAACATCCTTTAGGAGAGTCAGTGCCAGAGCTCGCAACTGAGATTCCCGCTCCAACCCTGCGTGTTAGTCTTGACCACCCCAATATGAAAAACTCTCCATTTAAAGAGCAATATTGTTTTTAAAGGAAAATACTGAGACTAGCTGAACAGAATATCATATTTCAAAAGCTGTTATTTATTTGATTCCATTTATAATTGATATAGTTCTAGTTATATGATTTCCTGCATTTAGAGCGTATTAGAGCATTTACAAAAAAACAACATAAAAAACCCTGCTTGTGAGGCAGCCAATTACTATTAGTCTGATAAAACAAAAATCTACTTATCTAGATGTTTTCAGTGCCCTGTAAAGCCTTTTAGACTCACAAGGTCATATTCTACTGAACACGAGGGACATCTAAAAACAAGAATAAATGAACATCGCAGGTAATGTTTTATAAAACATAAAGATAAAATACCAGCCTTGCCCAACCCAAATTGCCCACTTCTCTTCAAGTTAAGGATGGCACTACACAGTACAAAAAATAAAGTATATTACCCAAGTATGATCTTTGCCCCTTAGAAATAGGCAGGTGGGCCCCACTGAGGCTTGTATGTATGTAATTTAAGTAGCTAGCCCGCAGTCGAAAAACCCTTTCTGTCAGGAAATATTTTGTGAAACTTACTCTTAATATGCCTTTCGCTAAGTTTATTCTGCTATGCTTTGGGAAACTTTACAGTTCTCCTTTGCTTGTGCAATATTTATAGACTTAATCTAACCCTCTGACATAGATGTCAGCAGAGTTCCCTCAAGTCCTAGATTAGCAAGACTGTATTTTGCTGAATGTGGGTAGCATTTAAAAATGAGCAGGATAAGTGAATGTTTGCAACTGATGTTTTATAAAGCATAAAATTACTTTTTGAATGTTTCTCCCACACGCTTTCGTATTGCTCTTTGAGCTTCAAGGAGGAAATACATTCTTCTTGATATGCATAATTTAAAGTCATTTTCTATTCCACACACAACCTCTGGTATTTTGTAGGACAATAAAGTATTTCAGCACCAAAGCTTCCAGATCAAAAAATTTGTCCCCATCTGTTCCTCTCGCAATCTGACTCAGGAGGAATAACTGCTGCTGAGAATCACTGGTACTCCACAGATCAGTCCTTTTTCCCCACACTTTTCAGCTAGAGCTACCTGGATTTCAGCTAGAAGATGCAGATTTGTGAAAACAAAAGCCTTGAGTCTGTTTGCTCCAAGCCACTGATTTTCACAAAATCCCATGGGTGCCACCAGTCATCATCTAATTTCCCACCAGTTTTCCCCACTCAGCAGCGGAGGAGGCCAGAAGTCAAGTGGAAGCAGTAGCCCAAACCTGACAAGTGTTTTGGAATCCTTCAGCTCCTGGACCATGAGGTCCATCAGGATCTCCTAGTCAATGTCTGTTGTGGCAGAAAAAACAGGGCTGAGCACATGAGCACCAACATCTGCCCTGTCTCGTGGTTAGCAGTCCACCCTTGCCATGGCTTGGGCATGTGCCCATCAACAGGAGCTGGGTTTGGTCTCCACCATGATGCAGAGAACTGCAGGAGATGCCTGGGCTCTCCAGGACCACATTTCTTTGGGGCAGTAAAATTGCAGCTGGAGTCAAAGGCAGCTGGTTGTGCAGTTTTGTTCTGACCCTGAACTGAGGCATTTTCTCTTCCCCAATAGGAAATGTTCTGTGAGCTTTCTCACTTCAAGGGGCATCAAAATGTTTCATTTCCATTCCAAGGAGGACATTTCCCCAGCCAGTACATCCAGTATGCTCCAACCTAGTTTATGTTTTAAGTAACCCTTCCCAGCCTCAGCCTTCCTCTGTTATCTGTAGCACAAGGGCTCCTTCTTCTTTTCTGTCTCTGTGTCCTCCTACTGACAGCCGCTTTGCTGTGCCAGGGTAAGAGTGTGCAGCTGAGCCGGCCTGCAGTCCTTTGCATTCATTTGTGATGTTCTCTTGGTGGCATAGAGGAATCATTACATCTCATGTTTCTGACTTGCTGACCCTGACCAGTGCCTTTCTCATAGTGTTTCAGATTCAATGGGCCCTTAGCATCTTTAAATAAAACATGTAAAATACAAGCCCATAACAACATGACTTTTTATCATGAGAAAGAGATGAAATCCCCATTTTCCTTTACAGTCTTTTCAGCATCAGCCAGCTGCAGTCCCAAATTCCCTTTCTTCACCTGGTTTCCTCCTCCTCCCTGCCTTTCTATCAGTACCACTACAAGGGACCAGTCGCACCAGCACCCCCATTGATATTAACACTGTCTGTTTGACTCTGTTGCACAGAAAGACAGGCGAAAGTTCTTATTGGAGTGGCCTGGAGCCTCTCCTTCCTGTTTTCCATACCGACTCTGATTATTTTTGGGAAACGGCAGCTCTCCAATGGGGAAATGCAGTGCTGGGCTCTGTGGCCTGATGATTCCTACTGGATACCCTACATGACGGTGGTGGCTTTCCTGGTGTACTTCATTCCTCTGATCATTATCAGGTAAGCCTGAACCGCAGCCAGCAAGCATGTGCTGAAAGCTGTCAAGTGTGCAATCAGCTTAATGCTTTAATTTCTACTCATTCATTACAATTTCATTTTCACAACTGCCTTACAGCTGCTGCAGTTTTTAATCACATAATGCATGTGTTGCTCTACTTGCCCTGGGGGTTCTCCACGAGGTATTAATGGCCAGAAACATTTTTTCTGAAGAAAGCACTGGATCTGTAAGTGCATCCACTTATCTCCACAGCTTCAGGCTTGAAATATATCTTTATAAATCCAGTATGAATGTCTAGCTATTATGACAGAACATAATTTTAATAAAAGAACAGGAAACCACACTTAACACTAATTAAACTGAAATTAACTTAAAGTGCTCTCAAGCTTCATAGTACTAGAAAAATGTTTCTTCACCAACATCGGAAAGAAATCTCCAAGCACTTGAAGCTGCCAACCACTCCTAAAATATGAGCAAATAAAATTCTTCCTATTTTGTAATGTGAAACCTGAGCTGCAAATATTAGAGACTGATTTGCTCAAAATCACAAAGACAATCTGCAGCAGAATCTATTTTAAACTGAGGTTAACCAATATCCCAGACTGTGCTTAGTGACCAGTGAATTTTATTACCTCCCTCTGGGATGCTGCCATTAGCTGCTGTTAAACAAAAATTATCTAGCCATGAGGAGCTACCAATGCAAAGGAGCAGTCAAAAACTGATGTTGAAGGGGAGTGAGGCTTCTTAACTGCCTTGAAAGGCTGCCAGTGGCAGTAATTTGTTCTCCAAGGCCTTTCCTTTCTTTTCCTTTTCAGTAGCAAGATTATAACAGGATTTCTTAGTGTCCATCTCTTCTTCTTAGTGGCAAAGAAAACTTGCTGGGACTCCTTTTGCCCCACCCCTAATTTGGTGACATGATATTTGGACCATGAAAGAGGAGCTATGTTTTCATGTCCCTTGGACATCTTTCTTGGTCCATCTGCTTTTGCAGCAGGTGATGAGCTGTGAGACTCTGCTGGCTTCCCGCTCATTAGCATCTCAGGTCAGAGCAGGGCGGGGGGGGGGGGGTGGGGTGGGGCTGGTCTTTTCTAGATGATGACAAGACTGGCTAAGTAAGCTAAACAGTAAAGACCGTGCCATGGGTTTAGTTCCTTTCCAGTTGAGTTGTGCATTGAAGTTTCTTACTCTTTAATCACGGAGATTAAGTTCTGCAGCTTCTAATGGAAACAAGTTTATCTCTGATAGAATCAAAACCGTGTGGTGCTTGAACTCATCTAGCTGACTTTTTGATACGGATTCAACATTGACCAGTGTTGCTCCCTAGAAAGAAGGGACAATTTTTATACTTTGCTCATAACACATCAGTTTGCTAAACCTTCCATTTTTGTGCCAGATTGCACAAATGTAACAAACAAAATCATGAAAAGTTCTCCTTAAAGAAAGGAAATGATAGCAATAGGGAAAAACTACTCCCAGATTGTCCAATTGCTCTTCCTTCCTAGACAGGATCATTTATGTTTGTATGTTTTCCTGTCTCGTAAAACCAGCTTAGTTTTAAATGAACCAAAAAATATTCTTGGGAATATGTAAATAAAAATGTGGGTGGATCTGCAGCCCAGCACTAGCAGCAAAAGGAATAAATACACACAGAAGAGACAAAAAGTAATTTAACTGTGAAAAGAAATGGCACTAGAAAACTTTGAGGTTGGCTGTTACTGTGAGAGGAGTTTTGTTCTGAATTTTCTCAAGTATCTAGCAATCAGGAAATATTAGTCAGCATCTTCAGTGTTTTAGGAAAAAGGCCCATAGCCTATCCAGTTACCAGTCATTCCACAGGTGTGTGAAACATCTCTTTCACATTCAAACTTACAGATTCGCATGCTTTCTGCTACAGATCAGCCACTCCTTTTTACATGGCATATATACTCGTTTGGCAAGAAAAGGCAAGCTACAGAGCAACAAATTTTTCAGAGCTGCTGACTTTATGCTCCCCTCCTCCCTGCCAAAGGAAGATATTCAAACCAGATCAGGTCTATGACTTGCTTTACAGTAAATTCCCAGAGGCAAGAAGGTGATGAAGACATGAGGGGAAAGGGAAAGGCAGTGAAACTGGAATTTCATGAGATTGCCCTGACAGCTGAGACATGAATAAAGCATTCTAATTTTTTTGCAGCTTTAACCTTGACTTTCACACGAGAAGTTTATGGCAAGACAGGAACTTAAAACACTGACCTTGCAGCCATGGGGCAGAGCGGTGCCTGTTGCCTGCCCAAACACATTCCTGGTTTCAGTGTACACTAACACAAATGCTCCCACGTCCTTGCCAGCAGAAGTCATGTTTTTGACAGGTCCTAAGTGATGTCCGGTACTGGGAGGAAGGAAAGGGGGTGGCGCAGGGAAGGATTTTTTTGTGCCCATTTATTTTTAGTTGTCAGTGATACTATTTTCTTCAGAGTAGAGAGGATTGTCTAAAATCACATAAAAACAGGATTACCATCAGGGCAAGGTCAGCAGAGACATTATGAACAAATGCCATGCAGTTTGGAAAGAAATGGCTATTTTCTTAGAATATTTTTTTCAAGTTTCAAGCATACAACTGAAGGCTGCAATTTCCCAGCTGATGCATCTCTAAAACATCTGTCAACATAGCCTCAAGGTGTGACATATATTTCTTTAAAATTTCTTGGCAGTCCCAGAGTTTAAAGCTAATCTGCCTGATGTGGCTGCAGAAATAAGTACTCTGGTAAGCAGTTTGCAGCTAAAGAATGGCAGGAATGGCTGTGAACATCTGCAGGGACTCAATTTCTCTGCAAAAGTTTTTTCCCATCGAATACTTTCAGATGCACAGTGGGTTTGATGGCAAATGAGACGCTGTTTTATAAGGGTGAGTGAGGGAGATCACATACATTGTAGTTGTGTGTTACTCTGTCAAAAGATCAATTATAAGAATTAAAGGTGTTATTTAGTAAATGAAGGAAGGCATTTTGTGATTTTTTTTAATTTAATGGCCTTTAGCTGAAGATGTTATTAAAAAAAGGCCGTGACATAATGATGGAGAGACTATCCATACATGTGCAACTGAAAAGTCAAGAATCAGTATCTAAGAATCCACAAATATGAATAAACCAGAAGCCAAGGCACAGGCCGCACTTAGTGAGGAAGTGAGGCAGGGTGCACATAGAAGAAGAATAAGACCTTTTCCACAATAATTCATTTTGTTTGCGCAGCTACTTTATTTTCTCTGCCGAAGCACTCTGATTTAGCTGCACGGCAGGTGCCTGACGCAATGTGGGACACTGGCTGGTGGAGTTAATTCTTAATTAGTTCTGCTGCCTGAATCTGCTGAAAACCTAACCTCTGGAGCAAAGCAGTTCACTGATGACAGCACTTTTTCTGGCACATTTCATCCAAAGTGCATACGAAGGATAAAATTTTATTTTTCAGGTGCAGGACTTAATTCCACACTAGATATGCTGCTTTGGCTGAGCAGTTTTCACTTGCTACAGTCCAGGTACCATAATCTTTTAAGTTTCTCTCATCCATCCCTCAGCTCTCTCAGCAGAGCTGATTTCACATGTTCCTGACACAGCCTTCAACTAACTCACAGGAGTTGTGTTATTCATAACACTGCAGCCCATGGAATGAATTATTTAGCTGATAACCTTATGCTCAGTCTGGAAAACATTTCCACGGGTGAGCTAATCCCCCAGACACAGTGTGAGCAAACCCTATAGATTCCAAGCCAAAACACAAACCATAAGAAAAGAAGAATCTGCCCCTTCTTTTTTAACATATATATGTAAAAATGCAATTTATGAACAAAACTACAACAGCCCTGAAAGATTTAAATACTAGGGAGGTCTGTTCCCACCACTTCTTCACAACTGGAGAATCAGCAATCAGTTATCAAACAGCCTGTGGTTTTGTGGTGAGTTTTTTATCTGATTATAATACAAACGAACAAGACCTGAATAATGAAAAGAGAATGAAAAGCTGTGATTAGATTTTTAACCCAAGAGTGTGGTTATCTTTGAGAGCTGAGAAAGGGGAAGAATATTTGTTTTCATGTAAAAGCTCTCCTCCTCCCCCCTATCTTAGTGTTGGGCAGGGAGAGCCACTGAGCCTGCATCAGGTCCTTCTTTACAGCACTCAAAAATTTGGCCTGTTCTTCCCTCTTATTTGGACAAATCTACCACTTTTTCTGCAGTTGATATTGTCAACCTACCAAACCCCAGAAAATTCAGAAAACTGAGTTAGGCAACCTGTGGTAATAAGTTCTCCTCTATTCTGGTACAGGTGTCATCAGCTATAACCAAAGCTTTTTCCCCTACACCAAGATATGCCAAGCAAAGCTCAAAAGGTATCTGTGATAGTTGAATACATCTGGGGCTTGCTGAAGAGAGCTTAAATATGGGTCAAATTAATATTACAGACTACTTACCTGCAAATATTTGCACCAGGGCCCCTCAGGTCCTGTGGTAGGGAGACAGGAGAGCTACTGGGTTTCCGTTCTGTATCACTACTCTGTGCCAAACCATAATTATATTCTGGCACTTGAGTATTCAGAAATTCAGTCTTTTTAGCTGTTATTCAAGATTGCCAAATATTTTTTTTTATATTTTAACCTGATAAATGCAATACATAGGCATTTATCTAATATAATTCCAAATTCAGGTTAAAAAAATTTGCAAAAGTTCCTCTTGAAGCATAGAGGAAACTATATCCATCTGCTGTTTAAAATCAAAACTCCAAAGAGAATATTTGCTTTGGAGCAGCAGAAAAATAATTAGAAGAGAAAAAACAGAATCAGCTAAAAGGAAAAATATGGAACTAAAGCCAAGACATTGCAATGAAATAAAAAATAGATTAAATAAAAGGTATTTGTCTGAATTAAATCAAATAAAGGGAATAGAAATACGATTAATAAAAATACCAAAGGTCATTTTCTGAGCTTGATTCAGCAAGCACAATCATTTTTCCTTCAATTTCCATTTCTAAATAAAAAAGCCTAGATCTTGCACATATGTTCTAATATCTGCTCGTCTATTCACTCACCCATTACACATGCCTACAATGGTTTGTTCAGATGAAGTTACAGGTGTCTTTTGTCTTTGGATAAATAGTGCTGTAAATTAGCTACCATAAAACGTAATGCAGCTGCTTCACTTTGCACAAATGAAGTACAAGGAACAATAGGCAATGCTGGATGATAAAGACAAGTAATTAGCAGGGAGCTTAAGTGTACTTTTTGCCAGGGTAAAGGCTCATTTCACTAGTAAATACTGAGGCTGAGTGGGATGCTATCATAAGGCAATCATTTATTTAAAAAAAAATAAAATCTGTGTTTAAAGAGTGGGCAGATCAATAACTCTTATAATTGTTAATATCAATACCAGAAGACATTTTATTTTCCAAACCAAAAGCCATCTATGAATTAAAAATAAAGATGGAGTGGGACTATTCATGGTAGCATTTGTATGACTAACTATAAGTTAGTTATTTACATGGACAAAGTATGCTGTAATTACCAACAGCGCCATATTAAACAACACCATTAACTAATAACATGCTACAATGAACATGCATCTTAGTCCTTCAGAATTTGGATCAAGCTAAATTGCTTTTGCAGGTGCAATGAATGTCATTTGCTGAGAATAGTCTGCACATATTCTTGTATTTTCCTGCCACCTCTCCAGATATGCATTTTATCAGGGCTAGAAAAATCACTGCATTTTCAGGTCAACAGCACGTCCTTTCTATCCTGTGGTCTTCAAAGCCTGAGCAACTCCTTCTCAAAAAGGCTTGGATTATTTTTCCATCTGGGTTTGACTACTCCACCTGAGCTCTTTCCTCCCTTTCTTTAGTCTCTTACCTTCAAATAATGGCCCACAACAACTTATATAATATTTTAATATCATAGTATGCATGAAAATGACTACAGCACTTATTTATATAGCCCCCAAGAATCCCCAGTGAGGGTTGGAAGGCCAGCGTACTACACAAAGAAACCTGACATCTGGACCTAACAAACTATACTTTGTATCTCCCGGTGCTTTCAGTGGAGACAAGAGCAAACAGCATGCAGGCATATTACACGTGTTGGAAAATAAGGTTTGTGGCAATGATAGGCTTGCCATGCATGTGTGTATGGTGTGCTCTTACATCTTGGCAATGAAGGTGGCGTAGCTTGATGTTGAGAGGAAGGAAAGAGATTACGATATGGTCAGAATTGTGCAGACCATTGCCAAACACCTTCCTATCCATCTGAATACCAGTTGTTGTCTGTCCCCTTCTACTCTTTGCTCACCTGCCACTTTATTTTCTATCAAGTGGGAATTTCTTCCCACCCTTTGAGATGTCACCAACCATGGCATCCTCCTCTAGCTGCCTCTTACAGAAAGAAAGAAGCTAGAAATGCATTCTGAAAACAACCTGCTTTTCCCTTGTAAGAAAATTACAGCTTCTGTTGCATAAGTGCTTTCTTTTTACTGTTGTGGCTTTGAAACACACATGCAGGTGCCTTTTATGATCTTAAGCTTTGGGTGACACATTTCTGGAAAATCCAGTTTGTTACCTCCATGCCAGCATAGCTGGGGAAAAAAAAAGATTAGACAGTAATAAGATCTGGAGTCCCAGAGAGAGAAAGGCATAAAGGCATAACTGTCGTTGGCAAAATCGTTGCTAGGAAGTGTACCTAGCATGACAAGTGACTCCTCTTTCCTGATGCCCACCCTGAGCAGCTTTACACCACCTCTGGTCCCCTCCTGGTAAGGAAGGCTCTAGTGGATCCAGCTATAAAGAAAAGAAAGAAAGATGAACAGAGGCAAAAACACCAGTACAAATCCATTATGTTGGCAGCACTTTAGAAGCCACTGGATTAAACCAGGAATTAAACTTTCCCCTGGACTTCTAAAAATTCAGGATTCAAATGAAACAGCATGTAATCTCATACATGAAATGCCAAAAGAAGACGACAGCTGCTATAACTGCATCTGGTGAAAGGGATGGTCTTACCAGACTCTGCAGCTGAGAGGGCAGGATTTCTGGGGTCAGAGGGAGAGCAAATGAGGAGCCTGACTTCGTAATTCAATCCTTGTGGAAGTTGGCTGGAAGCAAGGAGTCTGAGTATTTTGACTACAGAGTTAGGTTCCTTTGTCCTGATGCTTAGGCAACTCAGAACTTGTCCTGCTAGACACATGCAGGTCTGCATCAGAGGGGATATTGTTTCAACTGCAAATAAAAAGCTCAGACTAGGAGAAAATAGAAACAGGATTTTTAGGAGCTGGCTGGAAAATTTCTTGAGATGACAACAATTATCATTCTTATTCATTGGAACAATCAAAGGAGGAATGATACATGAATTTTCCACCATTGTCAGTACAAAGTACAAAGGAATTCTCAAGTGCACCAGCTGATATACAAACAGGTTCTTGAAAAGCCAGGATATAAAAGCAAAATGTTCAAGTCAGCTGGGAGCCATGCTGGACCTTTGAAGGGATTAAGGAGGGCAAGCTGGAGTCCACAGCAGATGCATGCAAAACCTTCACTGGGCAAATATGCTACTGCTCTGCTCCACAGCCCAGACTTTCCAGCTCTCACCTATTGAGTCTGGAAACCAGATGGTTCAAACTTCCACAGAAAGGAAACCTCCAAGGCACACAAATACTGCCTTTGCAAGCATGTCTAGGAATTGAGGGTGCTCTAGGAAAGGCTTGTGTATCAGTCTGAAAGCTCTAATAAGAACAATGTTTCTTCTGGTAACAAAAATAAACCACATGATAGTAAGACATATTTTTGTCTCTGTAAAACACCCTGAAATACTCCCCTTAGCTGCACCTTTTTCACAGAGTCACCACTGAGGTTTATGGCAATTAATGGTCAGGCTGCCCCAAGTCCCCCAAAACACTGCAGTGTATTGCAAACAGCACATCGTGACTTCTGTTACAATGCTTGGTTTTTACATCAGGAAAACATGGCAACCCGAGTGCATTAGCTGAAATATTTTTAAATTATTTTTGTCTTCCTTAGCAGACAAAAAGGAAAACACGGGTCAAAAGTATGCTGTTGCTTAGTGATTTTAGCTGCATGTTATGCATGCTTGCAGGAGAAAAGGCAGACAGAGCAAGGCCTTGTATAATTTTTTATGTAAACTGCTGAAAAGGTAACATCCTCATTCAGGATAGGGTTTCAAACAGCTCTTCAGCTTGAAGGAATTATTTTTACCTAATATATTAAATAAATAGAATTCCAGATTTGTTATTGCCTAGGGAAAGGTCATAACTATCCAAAGTTACTGTGGACTAGGGCACTTTTCATCTTTCTTGTTAAAAGTATATGTATATTCCTCTCTAAATATGCAAATTGTGGTGGACTTGGTTTTGAATCATTTAACTCTCCCCATCTACCTAATACTTCTGTCCCCCTCAGTTTCAGTCCCAGGACCTTGAGACCCAAAAGTGAACACCATGGTACTTAACTGCATTTCTCATGGATCTTGCCCCTGTCGACATCCCCAGGGTACCATTTTATTTGTCAGCTTCATACTCACAAAGTAACACCAAACCAGCAGTGGACACACAGCCAAAACAGGTCCGTTGCCTTGCTTCCCCCATTTCAGGGCTAGTGTCCTTCTTGCAGCTCCCAAGCCCACAAGCACAACCCTGTGCAGGGATGAGGTGCGTCCTGCCTGAGGCTGGTACCCAGGCAGATCTGGCCTCAGTTAGCTCAAAATCCCCAGTGAAATCTTGCCTGCGACATCTTGGCCAAGACATTGCATTCCTCTGCACCTCAGATTTGACATCTGCAAAGCCAGGACAATGATAATGGCTTCCATGGTGAAAACTCTTCAGATATACTTCTGAAAAGTACTATGGGAGAGTCATATTTTCTTTATTATTCTTGTCATCATTATTATTATTATTATTCCTATGAAGTCCTGTCATCTCTATGAGCTCCTTACACATAGATAAGTATATTCATAGAGCGCGAATGACTGGGATGTCAGTTAAATTTACTGTGCCTCATAATATCAATGACTCCTTCCCTTCTGTAGCGTCATATATTCAATTGTGATTCAAACCATCTGGATGAAGAGCAAAGCTCAGGCTGTCATCATATCCAGCTGCCCTGGTGAGTCTCAGCACACACATGTCTCCAGCCTCATGATTCAAAGCCACCCGGCTCCCCCAAATCCCAAAATGCCTGGTCATGCAGTGTCACATTGGGCCCCCATCACTGCAGTGGGAATAGGGTTTCTGTAATTGCTCATTCATAACTCTTTTCTACATTTTTTACTTTATTTTCTTTGACACTAAATCCCCTTTAGAGAAATGATAGAGAACATCTACAAGAAAAGAATTAAAAGGTAAAGAATCCTTATTCTAGAACTTAGAAACCCTATTCCTAGAACATTGCCCATTTCCAGAATAAATTTTTCTAGCAGATACCTATGTAAGTCTTTTGCTGTGCTTTCATATGACCTTACAAGTCCAGTGTTGGTCAAGATCAGAAATTCCTGGCTATGGAAAGCCATAAAATGAGCTGAGCTTTCCACCCCAAGACCATAAACTTTTTTGGACCATTCTGATTGATTTTGGCAAAGAATCTGAGCACAAATCATTTCAAGATCCTCACTTGTCAGCTGCCTTCCCTATTAGTTATGACGAAAGGTATGTTCATTTACTGTAATATGTTTTACAACACAACTGTAAGAGCACACAACCACTTACAGCAGCCAAGTGATGAGTGGAAATGCATCAAGCTATGGGGACCAAGCTGCTGGTACATGTCTTCTTGTGTATTCACTGTGGTGAACCTAATTATTCTGACCCAGCAACATGAACAGCAAATCGACATTAATAATGAAATCAGGCATAATATTGCAATCATGCTGGTACTGTTATTCAAATACAGAACTTGATTCTTGGAGACATTAGTGTGACTTCAGAGGAAATGAGATCAACCAGCCTTGGTGTGAGACTGAATAGGATTTGCTTCTCAATTCAAGCCACACTTCATCTCTGAAAAGCTAGTCTAACAGCATTTTGTCTTTCATTACTGAGTCAACATAGAGAGTAAAATGCATGACTGATTCTCCAAAGCATCAAAAGGAGTAAGAGGTTAAGGGAATGGAGCATGTAGCTTTTAAAATCCTTCTGACTGAAATACAGTTAAAAGTGAACAGGTAGTCTGTTTTGCCAGGTTGTTTCTTCTGTTTTCTTAATTACAGCTACCAGTTTCTTTCAGAAACTGTCTCCTATAACACTGGTTGTGATTTTGTAGCTGTGATGGCACATGGTTTTTAATTAGACTGATACAGCTGGGCACACAGGCAGCGGTTCTCCTGACTAAGTGGTGAGGATCAGGAACACCCAGCTGCCACAGTGCTTCAGGAAGATTTCTTCTGCTTACATTTCCCCTTTTGATTTGGGGTAGCTCAGGTTTTGAGCATCCAACTTGAGCAGGTTTGCAAGTGTCCAAATTTCAGAAACTACTGAGCCCCTGCCTGACTCTAGGAGAAGATGGGCTATATATTGCTGTCCTGCCCGCAGAGGTAGGCACTGACACATCAATGCACCAGCCCTGCTCTTTTACTAGCTGAACCATTCTTTCCCTAGGTGGCAAAACCTCTGCTGGCTACACCAGTCGTGGGTTCATATCCAGGGCAAAAGTGAAAGCGATCAAGTACAGCATCGTAATTATCATTGGTAAGTGAAAAGCCCTGCAGCTGGCTAGGGAGGATGCTGACTTTAGGAAGCTAGTCTTCCTCAGCTCCCTCTGTCATGAGCAGATAAAATGCAATAGATGGCTTAGAGAAGGAGCTTACTTAGACTCCCCTGACTTGCCTTCTGACCTTGTCCTTCCCCTCTCCTCTGGCTGATAAACTCCTATTTTAGGCATCTGACACAAGCCTCAAATGAATTTATATGCACAGCCCCTCATGTTCATAAAGAAAGTAAAGGAGGGACATTGCTTAAAAGGAACAAAAGAAGGGGTCATCTCCTTCCCATCCAGGCTGCCAAAAGACTTGGCAACCAAGTTGTCTTTTAGGCTTAGAGACTAGGTATGGCATGTTAGGTGCTGGAGGAGTGCAAGGGAGAGGAAGGAGAGGTGAGGGATGCAGAGCAATTGAATTTGATGTCAGAAGCATGTTGCCTGCTAAGGTGGGAAGAACGAGCTCTTCTTTCCTGACAGGGCAGCAGATGACTCAGTGCAGGTGTCCTCCGTCTTCCACGGAGATGACATTATTCTGATGGAGTTAGGAGACTGACATTCTATCTCAATAAATAAAGGCAGCATCACACAGGGCTGGTGATTAGCTGCCAGAGACAGACAGGAAGGCGACTGAAACTATTTACTCCCAAGGGCTGACAGCCATCCCCTAACACTGAAAAAGAGATTGCTCCTCTTTCCTATGCTACACAAAATTCAGATTGGACGATATTGCAATAATGGCTAGTATTAGCTCACTGTTTAGCAGTAGTGTCTACAGGCATGAGAGAGGCTGGTGTGAGTCATGCTTTTCAGAAGCCCAAGAACAGCTTCTTTGTGTACCTGAACTTTTCTGTGTGGCAATAAGAGAACACTTTTGTCAGAAACAACTACTATCGCAACGCCATCAGATGTTAAGAGCTCACCTGGATGCTCAGTATTTCAAAGGACCTTGATAATACTAGGCATCCCGCATGTCTTGATGTGCAAACAGATTAAGGCACCTAACATTCATGGATTTCTTTAAAGCCACTTAAAGTTCTACATAGTCAGTGCTATGACCCATACGCTGACACTGTGTATTGCTGTTTTGCTGGTATGTGTGCATAGACACTGCCAGTTTGGTTACTCTAGAAAACAGAAGGGGAGTTTACCTCTTCCTTGCACATTCAGTGCAGAAATACTGCTCAGAAATACTGATCAATGTGATGGGAAAGCAAGCACGAGGTCACTCTGCTGTCTCATTTGGGTCAGGGAGACATCATGTGTCTCATTTCACAGATACCTGTATATTTGCAACCCAGGTACTTACAGCTTAGCTGAGTGAACTGCCTGTCCCAGTGTTTCCATGTAAATCTTGAATCCAAAGCTTTTGTGAAAGGAGATGACGGAAATTTGTGAGGGACAATTCATTCCTTCCACCTGCAAATAAAGGTAGATCTGTGGCCTTTTTATTTCTGCCACCTCTGAACAAAAGCACCTATGAACAGCACAGTCCTCTCCTCCCTTCCCCAAATTCACCTCTCAAATTGCAGTACAGGAATTAAGAGAGTCTTCCTGCACACTCCATGTACACAGCACCTCCAGCCAGCATGCCAAATGATACATTGGTCTGCCATACTGTGGTGTGAAAGTGTGTCGTTCCTAGTGCCTGGATGTCTAAGAGCCTTTTTTTAATAGGCGGCTGTGACAGGCAGCGCTGTCATGGAGTGGCACTTTGGTGGTGTGTACATTTAGATTGTCTGCTCACTCAGGGGACCATTAAAAGAGCGCTTCACTATAACTGATGATGCTTTAACTGGCTACCTATTTACCCTTTATGTGTTGTGTAGTGTTCAAAAGTGCCTTGATATGTCTAGAGGGAGCACTCTAAACACTTAGAGGAGCACACATAATTTATTTTATGGGCATTAAAATAAAAATAAAGACAAATAAAAGCACAATCTAATAACTATTCTCTTAAATAAGACCCTGAATAGGGAGAGATTTTTTTTTTTTGCATGAACAACTATTTATGTGTTATGACAGTCTCTCTATGTGCGTGTCATTACATCCCTAAACAGCTAAACTATCTAATGTCAAGCTCTTCCTCTCTCTGTCTCTCTTTCAGCATTTGTTCTCTGTTGGAGCCCTTACTTTCTTTTTGATATCCTGGACAACTTCAACATACTCCCTGAGACCAAAGAGCGCTTCTATGCATCTGTGATTATTCAGAACCTGCCAGCCTTGAACAGTGCCATCAACCCCCTCATCTACTGCCTCTTCAGCAACCACCTCTGCCCCCCTTTCGAGTATCGCTCCTTTACTGTCACTGACTAACCCCTAAAAAGGGAGGGAACACATAAATGCAGTCCCTAAACAAACTAAGTCTTTTTGTCTATTCTAATTCTGACTGTCCCTTATTTTCTTCAGGGAAAGAAGGACTCAAAGGCTGGGGGGGACATTCCGGGACAGGAGTGATGGAAGGCAGGAGATGCATGTCCTGTCCAAACCAGAAGACATCTAGAACGGATGATGCTCTGCAAAGCTACACCAGGACCTGTGCCGAGGAAAGTGGAGGTTCCTCACAAGCCCTGTGCATCATGAGTGGACGGAAACCAACTGACAAGAGCCTGCACCTTGCTGCTGTTGAGCAGCACATGTATTTTCAATCATCGGCACTGCAGCTTCAGCAACCACACACTGCCAGTGCCAACCTCAGTAGGAAGGATTTGCATGCCACTTGTGAGGGCTCATCTTGGCCCTCTGTTTTTAAACAAGCTGTAATATATATATACTCTGAACAGCAAAAAACAATGTAAATGGTGTCTAGTCAGTGTTCTCTATTTTTCAGGAGTCACTAAAAGCTATCTACTGTACCGTCTGGCTCATATAACTGATAAAGAGTATTTACAAGTAATTACAGAGCAGGGACCCTACTTAAAATGAAAACACAGGCACTTTTCTGAGAACATGCCACTGTCACTCCATATAATTATATCTGGGTTTCATACACAACCACTTATGAAGTCATAGCCAGAGAAGAGGGTACCGAAGGGCTGGGTTACAGCCTCCCACCTCACCTGGATCCGCTTCTCAGCTCATGCCAGCCCCCCCAGCTGCACCATCCCTCGCAACTCATCCTCCCCTTCCCACAAGGTATTTCCCTGCTATCCCACCTTGGTGTGTCGGTGGCATCCCAGGGTCCCTGCAGAGCTCCCACGTGACACATCCGGACAGTCGTGTATTTCTGGGCTACCATATTAACAAAGCGTTAGCCAGCCCCTCCCAGCCACCATGCTCCATCACGTGCGCAGATCCTCACGTGCTTCTGTGACAAAGGCTCTGAGCAGTCTTTTGGGGACCCAATGGAGAGCTGCCATGCTGGGCATTGCATCAGCACAGATCAACCTCGCTGCCCACACAGCAGCATTTCTCTGGCTCGTGTCCTGTGTATATCATCCACATCACTTGAATCAGGCACGGAACCATACATTTCTTTAGACAGCCTCAGAGCTGGAAAAGGACCTGAGTGAAACCATGAAACTGAAATTACATTTAGAAAAAATTATCTGTTGATGGACCAGTCTTGTAAACTCATTGTAGGGTCTACAGAGCACCAGCCATCAGGCAGAGCTTCACTGCACAGCATCCCAAGCAGTTGGGCATCCCCTTCCCCAGCCCGCAGGGCATCCTCCCACCACACTGTTCTCAAGTTTAAGGAGAAATGTTCTCACACAGGTTCAGCAGGTGGGTGGATGATGTTGACTTCAATGTTCATTTTACGGCAAGGCAGCTTAAAGTGTTTGTATGATAATACACTGTAACCAGCTGTATGGCAAGTGTGTTTGTTTCCTATTAGTAAAAAAATTGCATTCTTATTTAGGCGGAGTCAGTCTGAACAGTTTTTTTTTTATTATTATGATCCTTTGCAATGAGTTTGTTCCCTGCAAAACAAGAACTGAATAAAATTTATTTATAATAACCTATATTGCAAAAATCTTTTTTCCTAAGTAGGAGATACATAAAATTGTGGGGCTTTATGTTCTCAGGAAAATAAACAAAGTTTCTCTTTTTATGATTATGAAGTTCTGTTATGTCTATATTTTGGTAACAGCTTAATTAAAACCATGAATTTACACGAGTCTTTACAGCAGCCACCTTGGATAGATTGTATATAAGAACTAGACAACATTTTTTCTTGTGGGCATAACTTTCCCGAAAGTGGACTGCTCAGTTTAAGCCTCAGTGATATAGATTTTATTTTTTAACTTTTTCATCTGATACATATACACTGGCTACCTACTTTTAAACAATTAATGGAGTTCATAGACTTAATACCTGGAAATCAGATAACATTTCTGAGCAGTACTTTGATTTGCAAATTTAACATGCTTCAATCCCACTAAAATTTACATATTATTCACTGGGGTCACCACATGAATTATCCCATCTAAATTAAGCATATGCATGAGTAAGTGTAAGACTCCAGTCTTAAATGAAGTAATTTTCCATTTATTTTCAAAAAAAACAGTCTTTTTGTTTCATTCATTATTGTATTATGTACCATTTACCTGTTGTTCACATCCTTTTTCCTCTGGATATGATTGTGGTGCCCTTCCTCATATGAAGATCTTTCAGTTTAAATGGCCTCACACCACTTTTGTCTGCATCCCTTCCAAGAACTTAAATAGAGAAATAAATAATCTATCTCATTTTCTATCCTGCTTTCTTACTGTGCAAGAGACAGCATTTTACTACCTTTTTATATTGTCCAAAACTTTTGTTGTTCAGCTGAGGAAAAGCTGAGTTTTTCCATTAGTATGGAAAACAATTGCATGGCCCTCTGTCTCTTGGGAGAGCAATTTAGGGAGTTTCATCTGACTCCAGTAGGTTTCTTATTCTTATTCCATGTCTGCAACTTGCTCTACATCTGTTGACTGTTTAGTTGCTTAATTGTGACAGAGCTGCTACAGAAGACCCCAGGCCTATGAGGAGAGGTAACACAAGTCAATGTCAAGGTCCGAATGCCCAGAGGCTGAACACAAGAAGAGTGTACCCAGTTGTTTGTCCATGACAGCCCACAAGGAGCTGTGTTTTTCATCAGCTTTAACACTTCATGATACATCTGTGAGATCCTTCTGACATTCCCACAGCAACCAGAAATATTTGTATGCATACAGGACATAAAATCCTGTATGATGATAAAGTCCTGTATGATTATAGATTCCCAGGAAGCATGAAAAATCAGATACTCATCCCTCAGAGAAGTCACATCAAACAGCATAGAACTAGGATACTTTTCAAACTAATACATTAATTCAAGAGAAAAGAAAATATGTGCTTTCTGTGACAGGTTTAAATAAAATCTGAATGAGAACTCAACTTCTTCTTGGACATTTTTTGATGTAATTTAAAGTTCAATTCTCTTAGTTCAGATTTCCATCTGTTGCTAAATGTGTAAAACAGTATTTTGTCTTTCATCTTGGTTTGGCCTTTGAAATTTCTCTCTCCTTTTTTATTTTTACTTTGAAAAACTAATGCAAGACAGCAAAATTTAACATCCAAATCACTGGGTAAGTATACTTTAATAACGGAGTGCAATATTCCACATTGTAACCATGGAAGAATAACAAAGTAAAAACCTACCTAGAAGCATTTTGCATCCTCCTTGTGCACTGCTGACCAAGTGCTTAGAGGTGCAGACACTATCAATCAAAAAAAAAAAAAAAAAGGTAGCCACTGCCTGGTTGTTTGTAGGTTTGAGGGTTTTTTTGAAAAATATATTTCATGGAAAAATAATTAGACCTTTTGATATGATACAGGAGGATTTGACTTCCACAGAACAAAAAAAATAATTCTTACACATTTCTAAGACTTGCAAGGCATGAATGAATGAAGGTCCATACTCTACAAGTTACCTAGGCATTTAAATATGAGTTGTTTTAGTGGGAATCAGGCACATAAATGTCATTACAGAAGTGGATTTACACAATATGTTTTTAGAGTACTGGCTATTGCAAGCATCAGACCCCTACTGATAGCAGTCTCTAAGAAGGACACACAAGCAGGAGAAGTAAAAGCAAGTCTAGTATTTATTTTAATTCAAGCCCTGGCTTTTGAATACCAGAAAGCTTTATGTCTCTTCAGATTTCACATTTTCTTGACACTACAAGATGCAGGAAATCAGGAAAATCCTCTCTCAAACCACAGGCCCCTGTGCAAAACATAGGAACAAATAACTAAAAAAGAACATTTCCAGAGTGACTCGGGCAGAGAATTTCTCAAGATATGAGCACTTTGCGGTAACTCCAACCTGACATAACTAAGAATAGTCTCTTGGTGCTCTCTTTACAAGGAATGCTGGCAAGATGTCTCGAGTTCTGTGCCCCTTCAGAAAGCCCTACCTCTCTGTTTGTGCAGATTTGTTTCAGACAAGAACCCAGAAGGCACCACCCTACCTGCCACTTCACCTTACCCCTCAAAAGGACTACATGTACTTTTCAGAAATACTTGATGGAAACAGGACTACAAAAGAAAGTAATTGTAGAAAGCACAGCACAAAAGTATATATATGCTGTGGGCACAAGTGCCTTCTTTCAAGAGAGGGATCATTCCACAGATAAAAATAAACCAGTGCAGAAGCTATCTGTCTCTACCTTCCAATCAAGAGCCTGGTGCTTACACAAGCAGAGATTTTAGTTTATTCATCAACCTTGGGAAACATGATTGATTTGGGGAGTAAATGCATTTTTTTGTGTGAGGTAAAATATGTTTCATTTTCTTTAGCAAGCTGTAATTTATTTTACAGTGTTCAATTTAGATAAGCATTATAGCTGAATGGTTCATTAGATAATCTTTTGTCATGTTTGATGGCATCTTATTCTGAGTATGCATAAAACATGGGGGTAGAGGGTTAGGCATACAAACACAGGCATGAATTTACAAATAGGCATCACTAATTCCTCAGACTGAGTTGTTTATAGTGGTACATAATTAGAAGCTTAACTATTAATTTAGACTCAAGTGAGGCAAATGAAAATGGGCTAAAATTCAGAGCTTTAATAAATTCAATAAAAAGGAACAGAATCTGAGGCATCATGTAGAAAGAACTGGATGATCTTCAGAACCTGAATAGCAGAACTGTGGTGAAATGTACCATGCTGTGTGCTAATAATCAATTACATCAATTACAAGAAATTCTGTTATAAATTGGGAGCTCATCAGCTGGAAATACCTGAAGAGAAGAAAGCCTTAAGGATGTCCATCAGCCAGACAATGCCTGGTTACTGACAACAACGTGGCCGGTGGGGTCAGGGTGCTAATATGCTCCCAACATGTATCTGGTGAAGCATTTGTCAGAAGAGCTAAGGTTGTGCTTAGTGTCACTGTTGAGACCACTCTGCACAAGACAAGAGAAAGAAAGAACATGGAAAAGAACAACCTGAGATTTCAGCTTGTTGGGGCTGGTAAAATGGAAAGCTGAAAAGGGGTATTTCTGCTGCCTGTTAATACAAGGATGTAAAT